TCTGGAATCTGCATAAATATGTGTGTGTACGTATATGGATATGTGTGTATATGTATATTATTTTCTTTATCATTGTTTTGTCTAATCTCTTTGCAAATCAAGAAAATAAATCTTCATGTGCTGTAAATTTTTTCAGTTTATTATTAATCACTTAATTTTTTTAGTCTGCAGTTTGACATATCTCTGTACACACACATGCACATATATATATGTGTATGTATGTATATATATATATATACATACATACACATATACGTAGATATATATATGTGTGTGTATACAGAGAACAAAATTTTTATGTAGATTTAATTAAAAATATTTTATATGCATATATTGATTTTCTTCTCATTGCGGCTTTTAACATATTCCTTATGGTTTTAGAATTTCAAACAAGTCTACATTTATAAACCAATTATGTCACAATAAAGGTTTTGAAAAATAGTTTGAAATATTTCACTGTGAAATGCTTACTGAAGGTATTGAAAAAGAAAAGAAACAAAAACACCAGGTACATAAAGATATTAATTTTTAAAAGATAAATGTTCATTTTTGTTTTATATCACAGTCTGCTGCATGAAGAATTAAATCCAAATCTTAAAATGGCAGTTAAATATTTTAAACTAAAGGGAAATAAAAGTACTGAAATGTTTGCTGGTACAAGAATAAAGGTCAAAATAAGTTTCCTCAGTTTGGCAAAGTAGGACTCTGATACTGGTCTCAGAAGTTAATCTGCCAATTACATAGTACTGAGTAAGTCATTTAACCTCTCTGGCTAGTCTTCCCATTAATGAAACAAGAGACTTGGAACTGTCATACTGATTTCCAACCAATGTTTCGAAGACTCCCAAGAACTTAGAATAAAACTGGAAAGAATCTGTAAAGAAAAAAAAAAAAACCCTTTGTATTCAAATATACTTACCACTGGAACCTCATTTTAACCTTTGATAACTGAGAAAGAAAGCCAAACTTAAAATATTATATCTCCCCTCTTCAACCAACATATGCCAGCTGTAAGTAAATATACTGTGTAATATGCTTATGAGTATGCATGCACAAATTGACAGATACAATTTTTCCATAACCATCTAAAGACTATGCTAAAAGGGTTGAAAATTGCACACACGTGTGATAGAAAAGGCCTCTGATATGCCGGACACAGTGGCTCATGCGGGTAATCCCAGCACTTTGGGAGGCCAAGGCAGGTGGATCACCTGAGATCAGGAGTTCAAGACCGACCTAGCCAACATGGTGAAACCCTGTATCTACAAAAATACAAAAATTAGCCAGGCGTGGTAACAGGGGCCTGTAATCCCAGCTACTCAGGAGGCTGAGGTGGGATAATCATTGGAATTCAGGAGTCGGAGGTTGCAGTGAGCTGAGATCACACCACTGCACTCCAGCTTGGGTTACAGAGTGAGACTGTCTTAAAAGAAAAAAACAAAACAAAAACAAAAGGCATTTTATATTGATGTAATTTCTTATATAAAGGAACAAATTGGCTTGGTAAATTCATTGAGTTTTAACTCCATCTTCAAGATTCTATCCGTTCAAGGCTGTCTTGATTAAGATGTGGGAGGGAATTAAGTTTATTCAGGTTGGATTAATGAAATGTTGATTTGAATAGAGTGCTATTTCACAACATTGAGTATTATTGAGTGTTTCCTTGCTTTGCCTTCCCTTTTAATAAATTCTTTTTCCTTGCTCCTTGTTTTTAATATATGATTGTTTTACAGACAGTGCTCATATAGAGTGTTTCAGAATCACACATGTAGCCATTTTATATTGGATACAATATTTTGAAATTATGGTTTCATTATCTCTTGGCCTGTTATTTTCGGAGAGAAAAAAAGTGTATGTATCAACAACATTATAAGCTTTGGAAGCTTTGAAACACTATTGAGATTGAAGTGCTATACTTGCAAAAAAAAAAAATTGATTCTAACCAACAGCGTGCTTTGAATTTTCCTTTCTACTGAGTTTTTATTTTTTATTCTCACATGGTGTTCTGAAGCAGTTACAATGAATCGTGGTGCTGAATTCAGCTTCGCAAATAAATTAAAAAAAAAATTTCAAGCACTTCACTTCATCTAGAAGTATCACCCAGGGGGAAAAAAAATAAACCTTTACTAGCTAGTGTTTCACAAAGAGTAAAAAGAATTGAATCAGTATTACTGTTTTCATTTGACAAGCACAAACTTTTACTGCCTCTGAGAAAGGAACTATTTGTAAATTTCTTTGAGCATAGTTACCTTTGTATTCATTATTTAATGAGACCCAAATCTTCCTCAGTAATATTGTATTAAATACCACTGTGTTTGAACATACACTATGTGCCTTGTTTAAACACTTGGGACATTGATGATGTTGCTTAAATATTTGCTGTGGGAAATGGAGTGGCCTAATAGATTGATTTCCAAAGTTAGTAGAAACTGATACATAAAGTCAGGATTCACTGTCACCTTTGGATGAAGGGAAATGTGTTTATCCTAAAAATATTCTCCAGTCAGTTTTATAAATCACACCAACAGCATCCATCCATAGGTGGTGGTCTACAAATCACTGCCTACACGCTGCTTCAAATTCTAGATGTTATCAATCAATTTATAACTAAGAAAAGTTTTCAATAGGTGGTCTCCTTCTCACAGCGTGTTCTACATTAATGGTGAAAAGTATCAAGCTGGCTTATCCAGACATTTGGATTTTTCTATATTGTCATTATGCATGATATTTGCTTATCCACAAATTTCCTATACGCCATCACACTTGAACTTTGTTTTTCCAATCAAAGGATGATGAGAAGAAAGGAGGGTAGAAGTTACCTAAGATCATTTAGTGCCTTGGTTTCAGCTCTGTGCAAGTTTACATGATGGTAGGGAAACCACTGTGTATGTGAGGTTCAGGGATTACTTACCCATTATGTTAGCAATATTTTTTTATTACTACAGATAATAACAAACTATATTTTATCATGTTTTGAGATAATGAAAAATCTTTTTATGAGTTAGCATGGAATCTGACTACATCCTACCTATCCACGCAGATCTCTGCTGTTTATACTTCTCAGTGAATTATTTTTCTATATATAATTAATACATTATGCATATTCAGAGATAATAACACTGTAAGTCAACTTGAAGGAACTTTCTATGCCTTTTGCCGAATACTTCCACGATTTTCTTTTTTTTATTTATTGATAATTTTTTATTTTATTATTTTTTATAAGTTACTGGGTACAGGTAGTATTTGGTTACATAAGTTCTTTAGTGGTGATTTGTGAGATGGTGATGCACCTAGCACCTGACCAGTGTATACGGCACCATATTTGTACTCTTTTTAAACCCTTGCTCCCTTCCCACTCTTCCCCCAAGTCCCTAAAGTCTATTGTATCATTCTTATGCCTTTGTCTTCTCAGAGCTTAGCTCCCACATATTAGTGAGAACACACGATGCTTTGTTTTCCATTCCTGACTTACTTCACTTAGAATAAGTCTCCAATCTTACACACACACACACACACACACACACCCCAATTTCTTTATCCACTCATTGATTGATGGGCATTTGGGTTAGTTCCACAATTTTGCAATTCTGAATTGTGCTGCTATAAACATGCATGTGCAAACATCTTTTTCAAATAATGGTTTCTTTTTCTCTAGATAGATAACCAGCAGTCGGATCACTGAATCAAATGGTAGGTTTACTCTTTATCTTTTTTTTTTTTTTTTTTTTTTGAGACAAACTTTTGCTGTCGCCCAGGCTGGAGTGCAGTGGTTCGATTTTAGCTCTCTGTAATCTCTGCCTCCTGGGTTTAAGCAATTCTCTTGTCTCAGTCTCCCAAGTATCTGGGACTACAGGCACATGCCACCACGCCTGACTAACTTTTGTATTTTTAGTAGAGATAGGGTTTCACTATATTGGTCAGGCTGGTCTCGAACTCCTGACCTTAGGTGATCCACCCGCCTTGGCCTCCCAAAGTGCTAGGATTACAGGTGTGAGCCACCACTACTTTCAGTTCTTTGAGGAATCTCCACACTCTTAGTTGTTTACATTCTCACCAGCAGTGTAGAAGTGTTCCCTGTTCACTACATGCAGGCCAACATCTATTGTTCTTTGATTTTTTTAAATATTATTATTACAGCCATTCTTGCAGTAGTAAGGTGGTATCACATTGTGGTTTTGACTTGCACTTCCCTGATCATTAGTGATGTTGAGCATTTTTTCATATGTTTGTTGGCCATTTGAGAATTGTCTATTCATGTCCTTAGCCCACTTTTTGATGGGATTGTTTTGTTCATACTGATTTGTCTGAGTTTGTTGTAGATTCTGGATGTAAGTCCTTTGTCAGTTGTATAGATTGTGAAGATTTTTCTCCCACTCTGTGGGTTGTCTGTTTACTCTTCTGAGTATTCCTTTTGCTGTGCAAAAGCTCTTTATTTTAATAAAGTCCCAGCTATTTATCTTTGTTTTAGTTGCATTTGTTTGGGGGTTCTTGGTCATAAAATCCTTGCCTAAGTCAATGTCTAGAAGAGTTTTTCCAATATTATCTTCTAAAATTTTTATAGTTTCAGATCTTAAGTTTAAGTCCTTAATCCATCTTAAGTTGATTTTTGTATAAGGTGAGAAATGAGGATTCAGTTTTATTCTCGTACATGTGGCTAGCGAATTATCCTAGTATCATTTGTTAAAAAGGGTGTTCTTTCCCTACTTTATATTTTTGTTTGCTTTTTTGAAGATCAGTTGGTTGTAAGTATTTGGGTTCATTTCTATATTCTCTTTCTGTTCCATTGCTCTATGTGCCTATTTTTATACCAGTACCACACTGTTTTAGTGACTATGGCCTTATAGTATAGTTTGATATCAGGTAGTGTGATGCCTCCAGATTTGTTCTTTTACTTAGTATTGCTTTGGCTATGCAGGCTCTTTTTTGGTTCCATATGAATTTTAGAATTGTTTTTTCTAATTCTGTGAAGAATGATAAAGGTATTCTGATGAAGACTGTATTGAATGTGAAGGTGGTTTTTGGCAATATGGTTATTTTCACAATGCTGATTCTGTCAATCCATAAGTATGGGATGTGTTTCCATTTGTTTGAGTCATCTATCATTTCTTTCAGCAGTGTTTGGTAGTTTTCCTCGTAGAGGTCTTTTGACTCCTTTGTTAGGTATATTCTTAAGTATTTTTTTTGCAGGTATTATAAATCATGTAATTTTTGCTTTTAATTCTTTTTGTGGTGTATCATATTTACTGACTTGCATATGTTAGACCATCCCTGCATCCCTGGTATGAAACTACTTGATCACAGTGGGTTATCTTTTTGATATGCTGTTGAATTTGGCTTGCTAGTATTTTGTTAAGGATTTTAGCATCGATGTTCATCAAAAACATCGGGATGTAGTTTTCTTTTTTGGTTATGTCCTTTCCTGGTTTTGGTGTTAGAATGATGCTGGCTTTATAGAATGAGTTCGGGAGGGTTCCTTCTTTATCTGTCTTGTGGACTAGTGTCAAAAGAATTGAAACCAATTCTTCTTTGAATGTCTGGTAGAATTCTGCTGTGAATTATCTGGTCCTGGACCTTTCTGTTGGTAATTTTTAAATTACCATTTCAATTTTGCTGCTGGTTATTGGTCTGTTCAGGGTATCTAATTCTTCCTGATTTAAGCTAGGAGGATTATATTTTTCCAGGAATTTGTTCATCTCTTCTAGGTTTTCTAGCTTATGTGCATACAGGTATTCACAGTAGCCTTGAATGATCTTTTGTATTTCTGTGGTGACACTTGTAATATCTCCTGATTAGTTTCTTCGTGAGGTTATTTGGATTTTCTCTCTTCTTTTCTTGGTTAATCTTGCTAATGATCTATCAGTTTTCTTTACCTTTTCAAAGAACCAGCTTTTTGTTTCATTTATCTTTTGGAATTTTGTTGTTTAGTTCTGCTCTGATCTTGGTTATTTCCTTTCTTATGCTGGGTTTGGGTTTGGTTTGTTCTTGTTTCTCCAGTTCCTTGAGTTGTGACCTTATATTGCATGTTTGTGCTCTTTCAGACTTTTTGACGTAAGCATTTAGAGCTATGGGCTTTCCTCTTAGCACTGCCTTTGCTGTATCCCAGAGGTTTTGATACATTGTGTCATTATTGTCATTCAGTTCAAAGAATTTTTTATTTTCCATCTTGATTTTGTTTTTGACAAAACAATGCTCATTCAGGAGCAGGTTAATTTCCATGTATTTGCATAGTTTTGAAGGTTCCTTTTGGAGTTGGTTTACAGTTTTATTTCACTGTGGTCTGAGAGAGTGCCTGACATAATTTCAATTTTTCTAAATTTACTGAGGCTCATTTCATGGCCTATCATGGAGAAAGTTCCATGCACTGTTGAGTAGAATGTGTATTCAGCAGTTATTGAATGAAATGTTCCATATATATCTGTTAAGTCCATTTATTTTAAGGTATAGTTTTAATCCAATGTTTCTTTGTTGACTTTCTGTCTTGATGACCTGTTTAGTGCTGTTAGTGGAGTATTGAAGTTCCCCACTATTATTTTTTGCTGTCTATCTCATTTGCTGTCTATCTCATTGTAGGTCCATTAGTAATTATTTTATAAATTTGGGAGCTCCAGTGTTAGGACTGTGATATATGTTTAGGACTGTGATATTTTCCTGTTGGACAAGGACTTTTAACATTATATAATGTCCCTCTTTGTCTTTTTTAACCGCTGTTGTTTTAAACTTTGTTTTGTCTGATAGAAGAATAGCTACCCCTGCTCGCTTTTGGTGTCCATTTGCATGAAATGCCTTTCTCCACTCCTTTACCTTAAGTTTCTGTGATTCTTTGAGTTAGGCGAGTCTCCTAAAGACAGCAAATATTTGGTTGGTGAGTTCTTACCCATTCTGCAGTTCTGTATCTTTTAAGCAGAGCATTTAAGCCATTTACATTAAAAGTTAGTTTTGAAATGTGAGTAACCATTACTTTCATCCTGCTCTTTGTTGCCTGTATACTTGGTTCTTGTCTTTTGTTTTCGCTTTTTAACTTGTATTTTTGTTTTATAGGTGCTGTGTGATTTATGCTTTAAAGAGGTTCTGTTTTGATATGTTTTCAGGATTTGTTTCAAGATTTAGAGCTCCTCTTAGCAGTTCCTGAGTGGTGGATTGGTAATGGCGAATTCTCTCAGCATTTGTTTGTCTGAAAATGTATCTTTCCTTCATATATGATACTTAGTTACACTGGATGCAAAATTATTGGTTGCTAATTGTTTTGTCTGAAGAGGCTGTAGATAGGTCCCTAGTCCCTTCTAGCTTGAAGGGTTTCCGCTGAGAAATGTGCTGTTAATCTAATAGATTTTCCTTTATAGCTTACCTGGTGCTTCTGTCTCACAGCTCTTAAGAGTCTTTCCTTCATCTAAACTTTGGATAACCTGATGACAATATGCGTAGGTAAAGATCTTTACATGATTAAGTTCCCCAGTGTTCTTTGTGCTTCTTGTATTGAAATGTCCAGGTCTCTTGCAAGGCGAGGGCAGTTTTCCTTGATTATTCCCACAAACATGTTTTCCAGGCTTTTAGAAGTCTCTTCTTCTTCAAGAACACTGATTATTCTTAGGTTTGGTCATTTAATATAATCCCAGACTTCCTGGAGGCTTTGTTCACATTTTCTTACTCTTTTTTCTTTGTCTTTGTTGGATTGGGTTAATTCAAAGACCTTGTCTTTGAGCTCTGAATTTATTTCTTCTACTTATTCAATTCTATTGCTGAGACTTTCCAGAGCATTTCACATCTAAAAGTGTGTCCAAAATTTCCTGAATGTTTGATTGTTTTTACTTTAAGCTATCTATTTTCTTGAATATTTCTCCCTTCACTTCTCGTATCATTTTTTTTATTTCCTGGCATTGGGAAATCACCTTTCTCTGGTTCCTCTCTGATTAGCTTAATAACTAACCTCCTCAATTCTTTTTCAGGTAAATCAGGGATTTCTCCTTTGTTTGGATCCATTGCCGGTGAACTAGTGTGATTTTTTGGGGTGGTATTGAAGAGCTTTGTTTTGTCATATTACCAGGGTTGTTTTTCTGGTTTCTTTTCATTTGGGTAGGCTCTGTCAGAGGAAAGGTCAAGAGCTGAAGGCTATTGTCTAGATTCTTTTGTCCCATGGGTTGTTCCCTTAATGTAGTATTCTCCCCGCTTTCCTATGGATGTGGCTTCCTGTGAGCTGAAGTGCAGTAATTCTTGTCTCACTTCTGAGTCTAGCCACTCAGCAAGTCTACCTGTCTCTGGGTAAGTACTGGGGATTGTCTGCACAGGGTCCTGTGATGTGAACCGTCCATGGGTCTCTCACCTGTGGGTATCAGTGCCTGTTCTGGTGGAGGTGGCAGAGGGTGCAATGGACTCCATAAGCGTCCTTAGTTTTGGTGGTTTAATGCTTTATTTTTGTGCTGGTTGGCCTTCTACCAGGAGGTGGCACTTTCCAGAAAGTATCAGCTATAGTAGTGTAGAGAGGGCGTTGTGGTGGGTGCGGCCCTAGAATTTCCAAGAATATATGCCCTTTGTTTTCTTCTACCAGGGTGGATAGGGAAAGACTATCAGGTGGGGGCAAGGCTAAGCATGTCTGAGCTCAGACTCTCCTTGGTTGGGTCTTGCTGCAGCTGCTGTCAGGGATGGGGGTGAGATTCCCAGGTCAATGGAGCTGTGTACCTAGGAGGATTATGGCTGCCTCTGCTGAGAGTCATGCAGGTTATCAGGAAAGTGGAGGAAGGCCAGCACTTACAGGCCTCACCCAGCTCCCATGCAAATTAAAAGGCTGGTCTCACTCCACGGTGCTCCCCACAGCAGCCCTGAGCCTGTTTCCAGGTAGAGGACCAGATGGGCTTGAAAACTTGCCTATGGCTACCCACCTCCCAGAGTATTTGGTGTGTCTCCCAGGTCCTGCAAGAGCAGTCCAATTCCTTCACAGGGTTGTGGGTCCTCTGAGGATTGCTGGTTTGTTCTTGCAGTCAGTCCGGAGGTAAAATTCACAATGCAAGCATCTACATGCAGCTCTGTCGAGAGCTGCAATCTAGTCTGGCCTCACATTCATCATGATCCCCTCACTTCCACTATTTTAATAAATACTCTTCTTTATTCTGCTTTCATTAAGAAACCCAAATTTCAGGTGAAATAAGATAACTGCCATAGAAACTAATTTCCTTTTACTTGCCAAAAACTCCTGTTTCCTTAAATAGATATAGACAGACACAGACATAGGTATAAATATAGATAGACATTCATGTATACATATAATTGTTTGAATCATTGTTTTAGCAAAAACTTTTAAGTTTCCATAGCTGAAAGTTACCTTCTCTGTGGTAGCTGTTTCTCTAATTACTCTCTCTACTGTCTTTTGGTTTCTCTATCTCCCTTCAGGATAAATTAATGACTACAATCTGATTACAGATATACTGCTTTCTTCAACCTCTTGGAAGAAGTGGAAATACTAAAGGAAACAGAAAACTGAAACTAAATTGTCAAATTAAAGGAAAAATTTGGAACTCTTTACTTATATAAATAGTATTATTTTTTTGTAACAGTAAATTTGAACTCTTTTTAAAAGCTCCTTTTTAAAAACCTGTCCTTAAATTGTATGCTTTTATATCATTAAACATTTATTTTCTTCAAGTACATCAAGAATGTCATTCATACAAGACCTTATATTATCTTTAATCATAAAACACAACTAGGCTTATTGAATATGAATAAATATTGTAGTTTGATACATTATAAAATGTACTCTGCTTTTTTGAAAAACATCTTCTTTTCAGACTAACTTTGGCTTATGAATATTATAACAGTTCTTTTCTGTTTCACATTCAGTGAGCTGAGACCACCTTCAATCTAGTATTTGGAAACTTCTTCCATGAATTGGTCTTATGACAATGCATATTCAGTGGTTGAAGTTCTGAGAATAACAAGCAATATGCAAAGCTCATGACCTTTATGGGCACTTTGTGTTTTGTTTCTCATTTTTAGCATATCTCATGCCAAAATGTTCATAGGTTCACTTTTCAAAGAAAGGTTATTTAGACTTCATAATCAGAATAGATAATGCTACTATTTTTTCCTCATCAGAAAAGCTTTATTTTAGCATTTTAAATACATAATAATTATCTTCCTCAATTAACAGCCCATTCTAAACATTATTGTCAGTTTGTCAATGTAACAATTTGCCTTCTCAATCATTCAAATATTTTATCTAGAAGTCATTAGGTTTTCTTTCAAATCACTCAATTATTCAAATATTTTATCTAGAAATCATTAGGTTTTCTTTCAAATCACTGAATAACACAATATTATTGTGTTCAATTAAATATCTGAATGTAGAAGTTGTAAATCAGAAAATATTCAAATGTAGACAGAATTTTTAAATCTAGGGTCAAAACTACATAAGGACTTTTATTATGCTTGGAGAAATATTTCCCTATCTCTTTCTACATTTGATAGTACTGTATACTACTGCTAAGTTTAAAGTTAAAAAAAAGTTGCTGATAGCTAATTAACAAGCTAAAAACCAATGTTTTATGGGTCAAAACATTTCTAGTATATAAAAACAAGTAAAAAATAAAATAAGGGTAGAGTTAGTATTAAAACACCATTAACAAAAGCTTTCTCTAAAAGCACCCATTCCCAATGTTTTTACTAATTATATACTGTTTTTAAAGATCACCTAATTGTAATGCCATTTAGAGGCTGTTTATCATTACAGTGTAACATTGATGCCAAAATCTGATAATTATTGTATGTAAAAGTAAATGATAAACTAATATTTATGAATATTGATAGAAAATTGCAGAACAAAATTGGCAAAGAGAGTACAAGTCACCTTAAAAATTAAAATATCAAGACTGATTTGAATTTAACCAGGATTCAAGGGCTACTCAAAACTATAAGTTTTACTGTTATAACCTAAAATATCTATGTAGCCAGAAAGAAAAACCATATTCATCACCACAGAACCAGAAAATATACTGGATAAAATTCAACATCCATCTGTGGTCTAAATAAATAAATAATAGAAAACCCTCAATAAATTAGGAATCTGTGGATACTTTAAAAGCACAGCTCTTTCTTAACAGGAAAACAGTAGTTGTTTAACAAAATCAGCATCAGTAAAATGGTATCCAATATAACTATCCCTACTTAACATTGTATACTGAATGGAATTTTAGCCAAAGACATTAGCCAAGATAAGGTAATTAGTTACATAAAAATTCACAGTAAGGAAGTAAATTATATCTATATGCAATTGATATGGCAATGTATCTGAAACCCCCAGAATAATAAATAGAAACATTAACATAATTAATGAGACAATTTACTAAAATTGAAATTTATATAATTAACTTAAAATTATATATACAAACCAAGCCCTTTCTATACACAAACAATAATAAGTTTAGAAAATATAGTGGAAGAAATGACTAAATTTACAAAAGCCAAAAACCCAACAAGATCCCTAACTGGAACCTTAACTAAAATGTTCAAAACATAGATGTGGAATATTATTGATCACTTCCAAAAGACACAAATTAAATATAAAAAATGGAGAACATACTATGTTCATAGAGAAGATATGAGTTAATATGAAAATTATAACTTAAATTTACACAGTTCAAATAACAATAACAACAAAAACCTCAGGCTTTCTCTTGAAACAGAAGAGATAATTTAAAAGTTTATTTGTAAACACAAATAAGAATAGCTAGAAAAAAAATACTGAGAAAGACAACTTGTAATTCCAATTTCAACAATGATGTAGTAGCAGGGGGAAAAATATGTCCTCACTGTAATGTATAAAAAATATAAAACAATTATTTACAGACATCATATCAAGAAAGGAAAGACCTTAAGTAAAAGCAACAAATAAGATGAGTGTGTAATTGTATTAAATTTCTGTTGGAAGGCATTTTCCAAGTCAGAACCCAAACAAGGGCGAGCCTCCTCCCTTCAATGTAGAGATCAAGACCAGAGCATGGGGAGGTTTTGGTTGCTGAACATTGTAAGGTAGGGATCCAGGAAAGATGGAGTTATGGAGAAAAAACTCTGAAAAATATATAAAGTTGTTCTTGAACCTTGCTAAGATCTAGGCCTTGCATGTATAAAGGGAAAGTCTATAATGTTGAGCTTATGGAGAACAGTAAGCAGAATAATTTTGAGAGCTCACCTAATGTGGGAAGATGTTAGTATCCAACCAGTTAGATTGGATGTGGTGACCACCATAGATATTCAGTAATCTTAATGTAAGAGTAAACAATCTCTGGATTCAAATATAAACTAGAACTGCCCTAGCTTAGCATCAAAATAGGCCTCAGGTAGATCACATGATCCAAAAGTAACTATTCTTCAAATCCAAGAGAAAAATCAGCCAATATAAACAGACACAAAAATTATAGAAACTATGACTCTAGCAGATATATATAGTAAAACAGCTATTATAACAATGTTTAGACATGTAAAGGAAAACGTGAATATAAGGATAAAAGAAATGAAAGATATTTTCCAAAAACTGAAACTGCTAGAGTTTGCGGAAGAAAAGATCAGTGAAGTTAGGGTTTAATAATGAAATCTATTTAAAGTGAATGATAGAAAGATGAAACACTGAAAACAAACACAGACTCAGAAACCCTATATCTTCAGATATTGTCATCCTACTGTCTCCAAAATAGAGATGATTATTTTCAAATTCAATAAAACTATAAACTCAGAATTCTAAAAATGTCAATGAAAATCAAGAGGACAACTATAATGAAAATCACACCAAAAAACATAATACATACATTGCTGAAAAATGTTGACGAGAACCTTTTATTATTAGAAATAAAGAACACCTTTCATAAAGAAAAACAAAAAACAGGAAAACAGAAGATTCTTCAGTAGAAACCATTCCCTGTCAGAAGGGAAGTTTAGAAAAGGAAGCACAAAAAACTAAGAAGAACCCAGTGGTAATACACACACACACACACACACACACACACACACACAGATGGATATAGAAATTACTGTAGATATGTGTGAATACAGTGTTTCATATATATGTATATATATTACCTACCATCATTTGTTGAGAGGGCTTAGAATCAGTGACATCCCCATACAAATGAGAGCTCCCATCCCCAAAATCTTGGCTTTTAAATACCATTCACTAATAAAAGGAACCAAGGCTCTTTGGAGAAATAGCTGATTCTAGGGCTGGAGCAGGAAATATGTAAGATAAGACTAGTACATATTTTGCTACTAAAAAGTAAAGATATACTCAAAAAATAAAAGAATGGGCTATGTCAAAGGGATAAAGAAGCCAACATCAAAGAGCTTCCAGTGGCCCAAACTGGAAATATTCGAGGAATAAAATAAATAGTATAGTATTAGATTATAACCCAAAATATATCCATGAATTTAAACGGATGTAAACAAATGCTGGAATAAATAAATAAATGAATCAGGAAGAAGAGGCAAGTCTTTCTTTTAGAAGAATTCCAAATAATGCACAAAGACTATTTTCCCTACTATTGCATGTTTGAAATTTTCATAATTCAATGCTAGAAATAAACAATCTTCTTTTTAAATTCATTCCTTTATGTCCTGCCATAATATTTGCTGGCTGAGAGTTTAGAAATTTTCAGACTAAGAAGGATAGGGCAATACCTGCATGAGCACATACTTTAGAGCATTTAGAATTTTTGAATTGTTTTATCAGCATCCTGCTCCTTCATTTGTTGCGAGGTGAATCCAGAGAAAATGGAATTCAAATGGTTTATATTTGGATAACAGTGTAACCGATTGGGAAGACTCCATTTTACACAATGGAAAAAGCCCGTGGTTTTAACCCAAATAGATTTGGGTAGCTTTTCTGGGTAACATTGATCAAGTTATTTAACCTCACAAAGGTTCAGCTTCCTAACATCTAAAACTAATATCACTAAGTGAGTGGTAATTATATATGTAGCATAGGGTTGACTTTAGATTTAAATTAGACAAATCACATAACAATGTTTAGTACACGTTTAGCACTCACTCGTAATAATACAGAGCATTTATTGAATGATTATTTTGTGCAAGGCACAAAAGTAACATGCTTACTGAGTCATATATATTACTTTATTAATTAAACTATCATTCTTGATTTTAAATTTGTGTTAAAGATTTTTTTTTTTTAAGACATTGTCTTGCTCTGTTACCCTGGCGGGAGTGCAGTGGTGCGATCTCAGCTCACTGCAACCTCCGCCTCCTGGGCCCTCCTGCGATTCTTCTGCCTCAGCCTCCTGAACAGCTGGAAATACAGGTGTGTGACACCACACCTGGATAATTTTTGTATTTTTAGTAGAGATGGGGGTTCACCATGTTGGTCAAACTGATCTCAAACTCCTGACCTCATGATCCACCCGCCTCGGACTCCCAAAGTGCTGGGATTACAGGTGTGAGCCACCATGCCTGGACAAAATAAATATACTATTGTCTCTAAAATTTCATCATACACCAACATGATTTAAAAATAATTTACTTTCCTCAGGAAGCTGCATAATATAAATCATTAAAATTGATATTATTTATAATTTTTTAAATATGCTATATTTTAGCTTTATACCGTTTAGATAATTTCTACATCCATAATCATTAAATAGATACATGACTCTCTCTAAGCTAATTTAACAATGTATATCATTTAGTGATTTAAAAAAAAAATTGAGTTGTGTTCTCTGTTATTTCAATACTGTGAGCACCTACGAGTCTTTTTTGAAGGAGTCATTATATTTACTCCAAAGATCACAAGACTGGAATCAGGAGTTTTGGGTTATGGTTCTGTTAAACTTGAAAATGTTAAGATGCCTTTCAGGACTCAGAGTCTTCTTCAGTAACAAGAAAAACAAATGCTGAATGATTCCACTTATTTGATGTACCCCAAATAGTCAAGTTCATAGAATCAAAGGGTAGAACAGTGTTTGCAAGGGGTTAGAGGGTGGATGAAATTGGGAGTTACTGATCGAAGGGCACGAAGTTTCAGTTAAGCAAGATGAATAAGCTCTAGAGAGTTGCTGTGCAGAATCGTACCTGTAGTCAACAATAACGTGATGTGTGCTTAAAATAGTGTGATGTGCACTTAAAATTTTGCTGAGAGAATTCATGTTGTTTTTACTATATAAAATAAAATTAAAAGAAAAATACTAAAATTATAGCATACAATCGTAGCCTGGATTTCCTGGAAACAGACTCCAAAGATGGAGAGTTCCATGAAGGAGTCAAAATTCAGGGTCTTTGTTTCACCAGTTCAGCCAATCATTGTCTACAAGCAGTGAGCTAGGATCTGAGGAGACAGGCTCCATTGAGAGGCGCTTCTGTGAACTGCCAACAATTAATATTTCCAGAAGCTGGGGGATAAATGCCTGGGCCCTGAATTGAGCATCTGATTGGAGCACTGCAGTATCTATCATAACCACTATGGGAGTCCTTTGATTTCAGAAACTCTGGAGCAGGTTATAAAGAAGACCAAGTCAACATTCCTCTAGAGGCATTTAGATGTTTTCCTTAGACCACAGACAATAAACTTTTAGACTCCTGCTAAATGAAAACAGGAGTATAAGTTAGATGCTTTGTCTTCATTACCGAACTATGTATCTCTTGCAGGAGGAAACTGTCCCATAAAATCCTGGGCTGGAGGCCATCCTGAAGTATGTCTACCTTGCAGTGACTTGATTTCAGCTTTCATCCATTTCCCTGGCTGGATCTGTCATTTTCAGTATGATAGCCTTAACATTTTTAGCTAAAGCCTCGTCTTTTCGCATCACAGGTGATTTATGAGGATAGACTTTTTTTATATGGACATATTGAAGAGCTGTCAGATTGTGTTGATTAAGTACTCAGGCTTTGGAGGCACGCTGCCAAAGTTGAAAACAAGATGGTAAAGCATACCACCTTGGAGTTCGTTCAACGATTTACCAACTTTTCAGTGCTTCAGTTTAGTTTCCAAATAAATAAAACAGAATGATGATGATAATGTTGATGATGATGATGATAGCAACAATAATAGTACCTACCTCATGCTGTTGTTTCAAATGTTATATAAAATTAGTCTGTATCAGATATATTAACTACTAGAATTCTCTAGGTAGATATCTTACATATATAAAAATATATATAGGTAGACATTTGTATTTATATATAAGTCAATATTATATATATATAGATACACACACACATATATATATGCGTGTGTGTATTGTTTAATTATATTCTAAAATAACTTTATTTGCACATAATAGCCAATAGTCATACTTGTTCAGAGGCATTTTATAGTACCTCTGAACAAGCGGAGTGATCACAGAGACTCAATGATTAAAGGTGAAGCCTCAGACAAGTGCAGATTTCTCCTCTATCTCCTTCTCCAACACTACACAAATCAATACAGGGTAGGGGTGAAGGTCTGAGAGCTCAAAAGAATGCACACAAACCAGTCTGGCAGTCTAGGGTATTCAGAGGAACATTGAATGAAGAGGCAATTTCTGAGGTATTTTTCTTAGGTTGGAGTTTCGTTTTTTAACACTAACATAACAAATTTCTACGAACTTACTGGCTTAAAACAGTATGAAATTATTGTCTTAGCGCTGAGGAAGTCAGAAATCTAAATCACATGTCAAACGGACTAAAATTGAGATGTCTGCAGGGTTTTGTTCCGTCTGCAGACTCTAGGGAAGAATGCATTTCCTTGTCTTTTCTACAGTTCTTGGCTCATAGCTCCTTTCTCCATCTTCAAAGCCAGCTAGGATAGGTACATAGAGTTCTTCTCACATCACATTGCATTATTGTCACTGACCTTCAGTCTCTATCTTTCCATATTTTTTTATTTACCTTGTTATCACATTGGACTTAACTCAGTAATACAAGATAATTTCCATATTATCAAGTCAGTTCATTACCAACATTAATGTTACTTGCAACCTAAATTGCCCCTTTGTCATGAAACAGCATACTGGCAGGTTCTGGGGAATAATACATGGCCATATTTGGAGCAGTCTTCATTCTGCCTACAACTGAAGGCTAAATGTTAATCCAAACAACAAAATGGGAGAGAAAGTAAAAAATGCAACACTGAGGACTGAAAATGTTTTATTATTATTATTATTATTATTATACTTTAAGTTCTGGGGTACATGTGCAGCCCATGCAGGTTTGTTACATAGGTTTACATGTGACATGGTGGTTTGCTGCATCTATCACCCCATCATCTACATTAGGTATTTCTCCTAATGCTATCCCTTCCATAGCCCCCTAACCCCTCCTATCCCTCCCCTAGTCCCCAACCCCCAACAGGCCCTGCTGTGATGTTCCCCTCACTGTGTGCATGTGTTCTCATGGTTCAACACCCACTTATGAGTGAGAACATGTGGTGTTTGGTTTTCTGTTATTGTGTCAGTTTGCTGAGATGATGGTTTCTGGCTTCATCCATATGCCTGCAAAGGACATGAACTCATTCTTTTTTATGGCTGCATAGTATTCCATGGTGTAGATGTGCCACATTTTCTTTAACCAGTCTATCATTGATGGGCATTTGCATTGGTTCCAAGTCTTTGCTATTGTGAACAGTGCCGCAATAAACATACATGTGCATGGGTCTTTATAACAGAATGATTTACAATCCTTTGGGTATATACCCAGTATAGGATTGCTGGGCCAAATAGTATTTCTATTTCTAGATCCTTGAGGAATTGCCACACTGTCTTCCACAATGCTTGAACTAATTTACACTCCCACCAACAGTGTAAAAGCATTCCTATTTCTCCACATCCTCTCCAGCATCTGTTGTCTCCTGACATGCAGAAGCTGGTTTTTTGAAAAGATCAACAAAATTGATAGACCACTAGCCAGTCTAAAAAAGAAGAAAAGAGAGAAGAATCAAATAGATGCAATAAACAGTGATAAAGGGGTTATCACCACCAGTCCCACAGAAATAAAAGCTATCATCAGAGAATACTATAAGCACCTCTATGCAAAGAAACCAGAAAATCTAGAATAAATGCATAAATTCCTGAACGCTTATATCCTCCTAAGACTAAACCAGGAAGAAGTTGAATCCTTTAATAGATCAAAAACAAAGTATGAAATTGAGGCAACAATTAATAGCCTACTAACCAAAGTAGTCCAGATACAGTTGGGTTCACAGCCGAATTCTACCAGAGATACAATGAGGAGCTGGTACCGTTCCTTCTGAAACTATTCCAAACAATAGAAAACGAGGGAATCCTCCCTAACTCATTTTACGAGACCAACATCATCCTCATACCAAAACCTGCAGAGACACAACTAAAAAAAAATTCCAGGCTGATATCCATGATGAACATTGATGCAAAAATCTTCAATAAAATACTGGCAAACCAAATACAACAGCACATCAGAAAGCTTATCCATTATGATCAAGTCAGCTTCACCCCAGTGATGCAAGGCTGGTTCAATATCCACCAATCTATAAACACAATCCATCACATAAACAGAACCAGAGACAAAAACCACATGGTTATATCAACAGATGCAGAGAAGGCCTTCACAAAACTCAACAGCTCTTTATGCTATAAACTCTCAATAAACTAGATAATTATGGAATGTATGTCAAAATAGTAAGACCTATTTATGACAGACCAACAGCCAATATCATAGTGAATGGGCAAAAACTGGAATCATTCCCTTTGAAAACTGACAAGAGAAGGATGCCCTCTCTCACCACTCCTATTCAAAATAGTATTGGAAGTTCTGGCTGGGGCAATCAGGCAAGAAAAATAAATGAAAGGTATTCAATTAGAAAAAGAGTAACAGAGGCCTCATATGATCTTTGACAAACCTGACAAAAGCAAGCAGTGGGGAAAGGATTCCCTTCTTCATAAATGGTATTAGGAAAACTGGCTAGCCATATGCAGAAAGCTGAAACTGGATCCTTTCCTTACACCTTATACAAAAATTAACTCCAGATGGATTAAAGATTTAAACATAAGACCTAACACCATAAAAACTCTAGAAGAAAATCTAGGCAATACCATTCAAGACATAGGCATGGGCAAGGACTTCATGACTAAAATACCAAAAGCAATGAAAATGTATTTTAATTCACAATGATACAAAAGGAGCAGATACCAAACACAGAGAAGAAATTCTCCATAAAAAGGATTTACCAGGTCAGCTGCTTAAATTTTTCCAAATAAACGGTATGACCAAAATGGTTTCTTATTTATTTCTGTGAGAGTCACAGGGTGTAATAAATTAACGTGATCCTATGATTGTTTGCAAAATAAAAGAGGGAAATTGAGGAAAGATTTCATCTTTGCTCTGCAAAGATTTTGTTCACATTCTATTGGCATTCGTCTGCAAGCTTCACAGCCCTTTTCAGTGCCCATAATTCTTACCAGAAAAAAGAAATTTAGCTTCTACATTACCAATCAAGTCAATCTAAACAGGACAAAAAAGAGAGAACAAGGGGAGAAGTAGTATTGGTTATATTTATGCTTCTCTAATTTCACCTTACTATGGAATTAGAAGGTAAAAACAGTACACTATTATTTTTTAAAGTCAACCAGGACATAGAGTATATGAAATAATAGTTCACAAGTCCTCTAAAATCCAAATTCCAGTCCCAAGTCTTTCTTAAAAATTTCTGAATTTTTATTTTTGTGGGTACATAGCAGATGTATATATTTATGGGGTAAATAAGATTTTTTTTTTTTTTTTTGAGATTGAGTTTTGCTCTTTTCACCCAGGCTGGAGTGCAATGATGTGATCTTGGCTCACTGCAAATTCCACCTCCAAGGGTCACGTGATTCTCCTGCTTGAGCCTCCTGAGTAGCTTGGATTAGAGGTACATGCCACCATGCCCGGGTTATTTTGTATTTTTAGTAGAGACAGGTTTTCACTATGTTGGCCAGGCTGGTCTCAAACTCCTGACCTCAGGTGATCCACCCACAGATGAGAAGTTTTGATTCAGGTATGCAGTGCTCAGTAATCAAGTCATAGAGAATAGAGTGTCTATATCCTCAAGCATTTATCCTTCAAGTTACAAATAATGCAATTATACTAGTTAGTTTTAAAAGTACAGTTATTACTTACTATAGTGACTCTGTTGTGCTATTAAGTCATAGGTCTTATTTATTCATTTATTCATTCTAACAATTTTTGGTACCCATAAGCATCCCCACCTCCCTGTCAAACCCCCATTTCCCTTCCTATTCTCTGGTAACCAGCCTTCTCCTCCCTATGTCCATCAGTTCAACTGTTTTGATTTTTAGATCCTACAAATAAGTGAGAAAATATGATGTTTGTCTTTCTGTGCCTGGCTTATTTCACTTAGCATACTCATTTAAGTATAATTGTGATTAATATTTGGCATAAGTCTTTTCAGATATTTTTATGTATGCATATGCACACATTAAGAAATCAAGAGAGATGTGTGTGTATCAATGTGTTTGTGTGTTCACATACTTATATATGTGTTGATATAAATACATATAATAAATATATTCTCCAGCGTATGTATATTAGCCTTATTGCTAGTTTGATATGACATAGTTTAATTAAAAAACATTTACATGTTTATGATTTTTTTTTCCTTCTTTTTTTTTTATTTGTACTTTGGGCTCTGGGGTATATGTGCACATCCTGCATCCTGCAGGGCTGTTGCATAGGTACATACATGCCATGGTGGTCGGCTGTCTCCATCCCCCTCCCATTGCCTACATCAGACATTTCTCCTGGTATTATCACTCCCCATCCTCACTGTAGATGTGCCACATTTTCTTTGTCCAGTCTATGACTGATGGGCATTTGGGTTGATTCCAGGTCTCTGCTATTGTAAACAGAACCACAACGAACATACATGTGCCTGTGTCTTTATAAGAGAATGATTTATAATCCATTGGGTATATACCCAGTAATGGGATTGCTGGGTCAAATGAAATTTCTATTTCTAGATCCTTGAGGAATCGCCACACTGTCTTCCATAATGGTTGAACTAATGCATACTCCCACCAATAGTGTAAAAGTGTTCCTTTTTCTCCACATACTCTCCACCATCTGTTGTCTCCAGGTTTTTTAATGATTGCCTTTCTAACTGACATGAGATGGTATCTCAATGTGGTTTTGATTTGCATTTCTCTAATGACCAATGATGAGAAGCATTTTTCATGTTTGTTGAATGCATATATGTCTTCTTTTGAAAAGCGACTGTTCATATCCTTCACCCACTATTGAATGGGTTTGTTTGTTTTCTTCTTGTAAATCTGCATTAGTTATTTGTAGATTCTAGATATTAGCCCTTTGTCACATGGGTAGATTGCAAAAATGTTTTCCCATTCTGTCGGCTGCTGGTTCACTCTAATGATTGTTTCTTTTGCTGTGAAGAAGCTTCTAAGTTTAATTAGATGCCATTGTCTATTTTGGCTTTTGTTGCATTGCTTTTGGTGTTTTAGTCATGAAGTCCTTGCCTATGACTATGTCCTGAATGGTGTTGCCTAGGTTTTCTTCCAGGGTTTTTATGGTGTTAGTTCTTATGTTTAAAGCTTTAATCCATCTGGTTAATTTTTGTAAAAGGTGTAAGGAAGGGGTCCAGTTTCAGCTTCCTGCAGATGGCTAGCCAGTTTTCCCAACATCATTTATTAAACATGAAATCCTTTCCCCATTGCTTTTGTCCAGTATGTCAAATATCAGAAAATTTTAGATGTGTGGAGTTGCTTTTGAGGCCTGTGTTCTGTTCCATTGGTCTATATCTCTGTTTTGATACAAGTACCATGCTGTTTTGATTACTGTAGGCTTGTAATATAGTTTGAAGTCAGGTAGCATGATACCTCCAGCTTTGTTCTTCTTGCTTAGGATTGTTTTGGCTGTGCAGGCTCTCTTTTGGTTCCATATGAAGTTTAAAGTGGTTTTTTCTAGTTATGTGAAGAAGGTCAATGGTAGCTTGATGGGGATAGCACTGAATCTATAAATTACTTTGGGCAGTCTGGAAATTTTTACAATATGGGTTCTTCCTAACCATGAGCAGGGAATGTTTTTCCATCTGTTTGTGTCCTCTCTTATTTCCTTGATCGCTGGTTTGTAGTTCTCCTTGAAGAGATCTTTTATATCCTTTGTTAGCTGTATTCCTAGGTATTTGATTCCCTTAGTAGCAATTGTAAATGGGAGTTCACTCACGATTTGGCTGTTTGTCTGTTGTTAGCGTATAGGAATGCTTGTGATTTCTGCACATTGATTTGGTATCCTGAGACTTTGCTGAAGTTGCTTATCAGTTTAAGAAGGTTCTGGGCTGAGATGATGGGGTCTTCTACCTATAGGATCCTGTCATCTGAAACGGGGACAATTTGACTTCTTCTTTTCCTAATTGATTGCCCTTTATATCTTTTTCTTTATATCTAGCCTAATTGCTCTGGCTAGAACTTCCAATACTATATTGAATAGCAGTGGTAAGAGAGGGCATCCTTGTCTAGTGCCAGTCTTTAAAGGGAATGCTTCCAGTTTTTGCCTATTCAGTATGATATTGGCTGCGGGTTTGTCATAGATAACTCATTATTTTGAGAAATGTCCCATTGATACCTAGTTTATTGAGAGTTTTTAGCATAAATGGCTTTTGAATTTTGTCAAAGACCTTCTCTGCATCTATCAAAATAATCATGTGGTTTTTGTCTTTGATTCTCTTTATGTGGTAGATTGTTTATAGATTTGTGTATGTTGAACCAGCCTTGCATCCCCAGGATGAAGCCTACTTGATCATAGTGAGTAAGATTTTTGAGGTGCTGTTGGATTTGATTTGCCAGTATTTTATTGAAGATTTTTGCATCAAAGTTCATCATGGATATTAGCCTGTAGTGTTTTTTTTTTTTTTTTTCCAGTTGTGTCTCTGCAGATTTTGGTATCAGGATGATGCTGGCCTCATAGAAAGAGTTAAGAAGGATT